ACAGCAGAGAAAAAAGAAGTCACAACAGCCATCATTCATTGGAGGGAATGAAGCAAATGATAGTACTGTGCAATAGTTCTATTGTGATAAAACAACTAGGTACTGATGCAACCGACCCAGATAGATCAATTAACCAATTTCCTCAAAGCCCGAGCCTGATAATTACTTCATTTTTGCCAGTTCTTCAAGCTACGCGAGTGATCTGGATACGTTTTGCATTTATCCAGGAGGGCGGAGGGAGGTGGCGTTTTTTCATGACACCGCTTGCCATACCCCTAGTCATGACATCAGAGCAAACGTAATTTCTGTCAGTCCCGGAGGACGCAGACAAGTGCACAGGGCGTACACACGCGTTTCAGGTGAGGTCTAGGGTGTTCAAATTATGGGCAGGTCAATAGATATACACTACCGATGAGTTCTGAAACGATAGCGATCCGAGGCTAGTACTGCTAGTGCATCCCGGTTGTGAACATTATTCGTGGAAGTAACAGTCTGAACAATAGTCGGTCAAAATCATTTTTCACAACCCGTAGACCGAGAGAAACAAAACCACAAAAACAGATTCACCATGCGCTATTGCGCTTATTTCATCGGGGATTTGAACGCCTTAAATCCTAGAGTTTTGATGACGGGTGTTTAAATATCAGTCTCTAATGGCAGTGGGGTATTATAATTTAATCCAAATTACGGGGTAGGGTATGTGACCAAAACAAGCAAAATTTCACATCGAACCATACAGGTTCTAAGAACTAGCAAACTTAACCCCTCGCCTTAAAGTTTGTCAATGGGATTAATTACAATTTCTTGCGGGCCTTAGAGATGGAAACCGCTAAGCTAAGCTAATACCCCGACTGATACGATGACCACAGAAGTGCTACTTGAGAACAGTGGTTGGGGGAAAATGGGTTCCAAATGACTAGGGATTAGTTGCGGCTTGATCGCCATGCCACACTGTATACATCTGATACCAATGTGCCGGGTGAACGAGGACACGCATGTTCACCGCTATGATGACATGAGACCACAGCGACCTTGAACGGGACAAAACTTCCGCACAACATTTTGACCAGTGCAAACGAAAATTTCTGGAACACACTTGTCATAGAAACAATGTGCGTCAGAAAAGAGGTGGAAGTAGTTCGGATGGGACAAAAATAAAAAATAAAAAGGTCACTTCAATCCAAGTACATCCGGGGTCAGTAGTTAGATGTTCAAACTCAAACCTGACAAGAAACTTACCGTCAGATATCACGACTATGATGACGATGAACGAAGGTAAATAGTGTTACGGGTTTCAGAGAATTACACTAGGGGCACCAAAAGACAGCAACCAGTGCACGGTTAATGGTTGTAAAAACTGAAACTAGGGGAAGCACATTTCAACGCCCTTCACAATCACAGGCTGAACATCAAACAACCATTAATAGCACCGTTATACTGCAGTTCCTAGTATCTCGATTAGATCCAAAAGTTATGAAAACGGTTCTTTAAAAAGCGTCTGAGTTGTTGTTTCGCTTTCGTCTCGGGTGAACAGGATCGGAAGATAGAACTTAATGATCTGTGGTCTTCAGTCCCCATCTCAATGCGTGTGGGGTCCAATTTACGGCACTTTCAGACTCCCATAGAACTTTCTACTTTTCAAGTCCTTTGGAAACACTCCAAAACTCTACCAAACAAACAAAGGCAATAAACCTCCTAAGCAGTCCAATTTTCCTCACATCCCTTATGTCAACAGTATTCAAAACCCGCATTTCTGACCGATTGCATGCGTTTGAAGGACTAAAGAGCGATAACTGATAACGCTTCCGATTGCTTCGTTCTACAGGTGACCCGCTAACTTTCCTCACATTCCTAAACATTGTAATCGATAATCACGATAATCACAATTGACTGAGCTATTCATTGCCAAATCTTTCAACCCAAATCGACACAAGGCTGTCAAATCAAATTATTCCCTTGACCATGAGGATACCCTCTATTGCTTCTTCTGTAACCATATTCCCGTCATGTCAGCATCAACATCGGTCGTGACTGTAGTGCACACATTTATTTTAGAAGCTACCGCAATTATGCTGAATTTAATGCTTCAAAAATCTTTCTTCTTTCATTTTAGGTGAAACATCATTCATTCTTTTCACACTTAGATCTCACCTGATTGCGTTCCACACACTCTTTTCTGGATTCTCTTCCGCTTTTGTATAAAGGCACTCTGTCAGCTAACTTTTCGCGGTGCGTGCAATATCGGTTTTCTACCATACCAGATGCTCCCTCGTCTTAATTCATTTGCTCATACTATAAAAAACTCAAATCCAACGGGCATTTAAGTTCTGTAATCACGTGNCGTGTGCAATGTAGATTTCTCTTCTGTGTTAATCTCTTCCCGATCGTAACCAAAGTTAGGTCTCATCCGGTTGATCAGTGACCCTTCCCCCACCTTTGGTCTGCAGTTACTGGTGCAATGTCAAGCAGAATCATCGGTGTCCAGTCGCTACGATTAATGTGCTCGTTCCTGTTCTTCAAACCTTGCTTCGACCGTCCCATTCCTTGTAACTTCCTCTCTGCCATGCTGTACGTAGGCAGTCAGTCATTCTTGTCAGATTTCCGTCACCATGCGACTCAACGTTTGTACTGTAATTCACTTGAAGAATAACGGTAGAAATAAGTAAATAAATACAATACGATGTATTATATATCCTTGTCCAATCCGTTAAAACAATTTCTTCTTTTCGTTGCATTTAATTGGATCTAAGCACGATTGTCACACAGTCAAACCTTTAAAAGAACTTGATTTACAAGTTCTAAGATTATGGTGTCCCACTGCGTCCGTGAAATATTTCCTCTTTTTGCATCACTGCAACACAATCTATATTTGGACAATTAGTTTGATATGCTTGAAAACTCATGAAGACTAATAATAAACTATTACAGATTCCAGGAACCGATGGTGGAAAAATGTTAACCAACAGTTTGAATTTATGAGGGAGAGGCAGAACTGAGAAATGTGGGCTGTAAAAGAAGATTATTACTTGGCAAACACCATTGCTCACACAATGATATCAGGGTCTAGTTGGACTCATGATAGTGAAGCCAGATAAAATGTATCAGATAATCGCAGTTAGACACAATAACCCAACGAATTCATTTCTATCGATTCGCGCATTACGTCTGTCTCCAATTTGAACGCCGTACTATCGAATGCAAGCAGCGATTGTGAGGTCGATTCCGAAGCCAGACCAGAAGAAGCCGTGACGCAAGGGCATGCACACTTCATGCAGTGAACTTGACCTTAATGGGAATGTTAGACTACCCGTTGAGAACCCACAGAATGAGCTTCATTGATGGTTGCTGAGAAAAGATGATGTCTGTATGACGATTGTGAAAAGTTCACTAGCCTCAATGGGATTCGAACCCACGCATGGACGCCGCCTACGCTTTGTACGCGCCGCTCTACCAGCTGAGTTACGAGGCCACACTAATAACATTTACATTTTCACCTTCTCAGCTGGTAGAGAGCGTGCGTACAAAGCGTAGACGNACAACCGCCATACAAACTTCAAATCTGTCAAACAGCAGTCTGAACAAAAGATGATGTGTTCCAGTGTTGACCATGAACTGTGATTAGTGCAACTATGCGCTTCCCTTGTAGATCCAATTTTCTCAGATTCCAAGAAGTTATATTGATAAAGTATTTTATCCTCCGTTTAGTCCTATCATTTTCTGTCCTAGTTCACCAGATGGTTTACAAAATATAGAATAGAGGAGGAGACAATTGAATGAAATTGTGCTGAAACTGTCTTGGGGAAAAATTGATATGGCTACGGAACAAAGAACCGACATGATTACATAATCAATGCGACCGGGCGAAAGAGTAAAATACATTCCCAGAGGGTATTTGACGTCAACAAATTGGCAAGTTTCCAGAGAAACGTTAAGACCCATAGAGATCCTAACCTCAAACACCCTAACAAGATGACACGAATGTCCGTTTTACGAAAACAAAAACTTACCACAAATGGGTTAGTGAGTGTTAGAGATCACTAACTGGTTGTGCTACGCAATTAGCTAAGAAACGTTACACAAATTCAGTGATGGTGGAACGCCTGATCTCCAACAGCGGCAATGACGTTCGTAAAACACTTTCAGAAACTATGGTAAGTACAAATATGGGGGGTTGGGGTTCGATTTAATCAGCTACGTAAATCAGAGTGGATAATGGTTTGCAGTTACTTCTGTGAAAATGACAGTGATTTTATGCAACGCGTCTCACACCGAAAACAAAACACATTTGGATCGTGGAAGAGTAGATTAATTTGAATCGCATTAGGCTGACTGCTCCTAATTGGTTGAGAACAGGTTGTGCGTGCTTTTATCACGAAACATTTATGCAACTTCGTGTTTCACATTTCATCTGTTTGAACAATTTGTTTGCTTATTCACAGGGTTTACCATTTGGTTTCATTTCTAGGCCTGGGTCGAGAGAAACGTAACAATCCAACCTGTTTTACAGGTGCGACATGAAAGCATATCCGGTTCGTTGTAAATGTTTCACTTTAGAGTACATCGTACCATTGAGTTTAAACCTATATTGGCTACATGGGGATTATCGAGAGACAAAGTATCCACTCTGAACTGGCCGTTGCAAGGAGAATTCCGTTGGGCATACACATCTGTTTTCGGTTGTTCATGACCAAGGCGATCAAACAACAATCGGATAGTGCTAAGGCACGACTGAGCAGGGTTGGAGAACATGTAGTGTGTAAGTGTGTTACAGTAGGGGCCTTGACATCACGTCCGTGCGGAAATTCTTGGATGGTGCATCCCGAGCAGGAACCGTCAATGTTCGCACGTGATCGGGGAGAATTCGGGCCCGAATGCAACCGGTGCAGAAATAATATGGGTATAACACCTGCGTCATGAGATGAAAACGAATCAAAGGTTTTATCACAGGTGATAACGTCTGCCTGGCCCATCAACTAGACACGGATTTTGATTATACTTACTCGTTTCTGTTGGTCCCGTAGTTGGTGGCAGGAGAACGACATCGGAAGTTCGTATGCACAAATGGAAAAGAATTGTCACCAGGCCACCGACACCAACAATCGCAAGGGAGAGATTGCGAAACGCCGGCAGATCGTCCTCGCCAAAATCGACATCATTTTGTAACGGATGTGAGCCCAATACCGGGTTACGTTTTGCTGGGTAAGGAGAAGAGGTCATATTATTCACTGATTCGGTCGTGTGTGGTGGTTCCGGATCGGGAGTACGATGTAGCAGGAAGAATGTGCACAAATAGACAGCCAAATTGCTCAGTACTGTGAACAGGTACCGCAATGAGGTGAGCAGTGTTCGTTCGCCCGGTTCCAATGTGAGATCATTCATCATGGCCAGATGCGTGATTTGGACGGCAGCCCATCCAATCTAGAACAAGAGAAATTGGAGAAAGATGATTAAATTTCGTTTTGTGTGTATAAAAAACTGCACACGGTGATTATCAAAAAAAGTTCTTTCAAAACAAAACATCATCATTAGTATAACTCAAAAATGTAGATCGAAGAGGGCTTTCCTGTGGGACAATATTCCCCAGTTTGCAGTGTGCTGTGGAAAGATTGACACATTTTGCTAATCTCTTGCCCAGATTGTCTAGAACCTGTGACATATTTCGGGCTACCTTTTCCAATTTGAGGATAAGTTGGCTTTTATTGAGTCTATCATGAGTCATTTTAAAAGTGTAGTGCAAAATGGCATGCTCAGTCCCAACTGATCGCTTTATTCGAACATATATCTCTATTGGTCTTGCAGAGCCAGGTGATGCACGCAGAGCAACAAGATAATGGCAATCTCTTTGTCTGATGGTGTTCCATGCTTACAGATACGTCACCTTGCTTTCCACGGAAACTTGTGGATTTTTGTTGCAGAGCAACCATTTACTCGGCGAAAACTTGCCACTATCTTGGGTGTAGCCACCGTTCACCATTGCTTATTCAACAAAGCAATACCCATTCCATTGGTAGTTAATAGAATAAGTCAATTTTCTTCTATTGGTTACAAGTACTCGGGACTGTGGAGCTGTAGTGTTTGTAGACCGACGGGGGAACATGTTCGAGAGTCATCAAATTTTTGGTCCGCCTGTTCTGCATACTTGTTTGAATGGCAGCAGACTCTGGTTGCTTGGAGCATTCACCCCTATTATGTTCCTATTTCCAGCGGCGATTTTGTCATTATCCTCGAATTGCTTCTTTAGCTAGGTTTCCAAACTTTGTTTATCCCTGTACCATTTCAGGTGAAGATTCTCATATTGAACAGCGCACGAGTTCAGTGCCATACGCTTTCGCTTTCAAATACTCCCGAGTGTAGTCAGACCAAACTTTCAGTACTTTTGAGGGAATGATATGCTTTCCTTTGAATAAATGGTCGTTGTTTTTAATAACCACCGGGGCACTTCTACAAGACGTAGGAAAGCCCACGTCTATTAACTGATAAGTCTAACGTGGCACAAACACTCGAATTGTGATTTCAGCAACTGCAAACTTTAAATAGTCTACCACCTCTCGGACGTTCTTTATAGGTTAAAAACTCGTAGCACAGATTTCATGTGCGAATATTAATGTGATGAAGTGCTCCCTTTAAGTACATCAAGAGAGACCTGTTTAAAAGTCCAAAACGGATGAACCGTCGCAGTGATGTTTATAGTTTACCGACAGCACCATTAAGACGGTTGAACCGGATTTTCGAACACAAAAAGTGAATTGAGTTCACGGTTTCAATTGTTTTCGGACCCAATCGACTGAAGCGCTCACGCATCCGCATCGAGTACTTGGTTCGAACTATAAACCTTTTCACATCTCATTATCAGGGATTGCCAGTTTAATTATCTGTGGCAAATGATAAAATTAGGGAGCTTATGTTTACTTTCCACAGAGATACTGGTCAAAATGAAACAAATGAGAAGTTTTCGCAACCGTTCCCTATCCATCAACATTTCGACAGTGCAATCTAAGTAAATAAGCTCTTCACATGGTGTCTGTACTTTACCTTCCAAAACCTGGAAGCACACAAAGTCATGACAATTGATGATTGCATAAACATGAGCAATGAATGAGGAACTTTATTTACATAACACAAAGCCTGTGAGTGCACTGGCGCAAGGAGGTCCGCGCGTACAGAGCAACCGCATCTTGTTACGGCTGTTTGGCTAAATTTTCCAGTGAGTTTGGCACCTTCATTACCCAACTGTGCCCAGATTGGCGGACTAAAACCAACTAGATTCGTTTAATCATGGAGCATTCAGAGTTCCAACCTGCGTTTTCTATCATCTCAAGCGTGTAAGGGCGTCACAAACAGTGAAATAAATCCAGATGAATGCGTTCCTAAGGGGAGGTCTAAGGTTATAGCCAACCTAATTGGTATTCTTTCCATCTGGGACCAGAAGTATGAGATGATGTCTCCATTTCCACTTGGTGAACAGTTGGCTTGTTTTTCTCATCAACATGCCCAACACAGTCCAATAACCTTCCGGTTAATTTCGAATCTACATTTATCTGTCATATCAGAAATGTAGTTTACGGATTCGTTACCATGAAGATCTCACACGATTTTATTGGTGGCAATTCCAATTACGGATACAAAAATGGGATTCAGTAAAATTTAAATCAGGTGACCAGAAAATGTATGAGGTTTGGTTACCAATCCGTGAGGGACATATCGGATAACAAAACACCATGGATGTCCAGGTGGTTCTATTCTTAGTCCTAGTTTTCTAGCGTGTAACTTTTACAAGCACTAAAGTTTACATTTTTATTGTTGCATACGTGCCTGCGACTTTANACTTTAGTACGTCCGTTCTGCCAACCTGCGCGTCGTTAATTTGCTCGTTCCACAGACGTTATCGATTGACATCTACTCAGATCGATCATCCTCACGCACTTGCCTATGCCACTACTGCCGGCCGATATGGACCCGATCCTGATTGGCTGTTAGTTCCGTTGCTGCCTTATTGCACATACGCTTGATTGATTGTGAACGAGTCATACTAAACCTATCCTACCCTGCTTACGGTTGCTCTACTTTGCTAACGAGTAACGAGTCCGAGACTACACAGTTTAAAGTCCAAACGTGATATCTATCACAGAAAATGTTTTGTAAGGTGAAACGATTGACGGATTTGGAGGAAATGTGAAGGAGACGTGCAAGACTTATGGCGGCGGAAGTCAAGACATTTTAACAGGTTTCAATAGGCAATTGGTAT